GCTAGCCGGGATATAATTCACTGTAGTATTCTCTTGCTCTCAAGGAGGATTTTCTGCACACTAAATAGCATTCTAACATATCACACTTTTCTTCATGGGAGAACATTTTTCTTTAAATTAATGACACAATAACGCTTATAAACAAGTATTTACACTAATGTTTGACATTATTTGATTTTATCATTGTTTTCCATAGCCTTCTAGTTGCGAGTATGTCCAGTTTAACAATTTGTCGCTTATCTTAATGCTGTCAAATCGCGAACGCCATGTTGTTTTCATAGCCGTCTTAATATTATAATACTGCAAATAATTAAAAATATTTATGGTTATTTTGACTTTATTTTTGACTTTAGCGGAAAAGTCATTATGAACTTTTTTGTTTAAAATTTGATGCTTTAACAGAAAAAAATATAATAATCAGGGGTTTCCATTTAAAAAAATGTTATTTTACTGAAAAAAATCAAAATAACGACTCTCGATTGTCTTTTTTTATTTCTCATTTTTACCAGCGTTAAAAATGCTACTAGTTTGCTAATTCAAACAACTTTGTATTTTCACTAATAACAAAGTTACTAATGGTGGACACTTAATTTGGATAACCCTGTATATATATATATATATATACAGGTTGTCCGCAAAGTTGGGGTTTTCCTTTTCAGAAACAACTACCCTTGAAATAACAAAGGTAATGTGTAGTGAAACGGGGGCGACCAAGTAAAAAAAATAAAGGAAAAAGTACTCACTCTCCAGTTGACGAGAAGGGCTAAGTACGTCTCTGCCCGAAATCATACCGCTCTAATAGAAAATGAAATCAGCCAATGCGCTACCGAGCAGACGCAGAAACCACATTGATTGTCTTACACTTAATGGCACATCTTCTAACAAGGAAGGCAAAATGTTGCGTAAAAAGTCTAGGTATTGCATCACGTCCAATCGATTTGGGAGAATAAATGGTCCAATGAGCATACCGTTCACCATGCCAGCCCAAACATTCACCGAAAATGTTTGTTGAAAATGTGCCCGACGGACAGCGTGCGGATTTTCTACTGACCAAACATGAGTGTTGCGAAAGTTATTTACCCCATTACGCGTGAACGTAGATTCGCCTGTCACCAATATGCACTTCAAAAAGTCCGGATTATTGTCATGTTGATGCAACAACCACTCACAAAACCGCACTCTTGCTGGAAAATCGTCAGGTTGAAGGGCTTGTACACGTTGGACATGAAACGGATACAGCCCCTCTTCACACAGCGTTTGCCACACTTTAGTTTTTGATACTTGCACTTCTCTAGCCACGTCTCTAGTGCTTGTTGAGGGATTCTCGTCTACGCGATTACCTCTACACGCGTGACCGTAACCGTCGGTTGAAGGTTGCATACTGACCTGACACACTGACCCCGACCCAGTTCTGTTGTTGGGTTGAGCCAGTGACCTTGTACCTGTCGGTGATGTCGCGACTACAGGACGGTATTCAGATATTTTTGATGTTGCAGAGCCCTTTATCTCGGTTCCCTTAAGACATTGGTGTATATCGTACTAAGAAAAATTGCTTATGTTTTCAAGATCTACACGTCGTGTAAAGGAAAACCCCAACTTTGCGGACACCCTGTATATATATATGCCAAAATGGCCGTTCGGTTTTTGAAAAATTTTTATTTTTTTATTATTAGATCGTTTTTCTTCCGGATTTGTTTTCTCCAAATATACCAAAAGGTTACTGCTTTCCCAATCGAGTGCAACCGACCCCTCGTGCCTTTGTTATGTTAATGTAGTACAAAGGGCTCGTGGCTCGTGACTTAAGACCTCACAGGGGAGGGAATATGCCGGTGGTCCAAGACCGCACGATCAAATACAGGTCCGCACTGAAATACTTGTCGAGAGGATACTTTATAAAACAAGGTAACATTTTTTTTTTCTTTTTTTATTTATTTTTACACACATATTTTGGTTTATCTTCCTTCTACAATCATTATCTGAAAATTAATGACTCAACTTCAAAGTATATATATATATATATATATATATATATATATATTCTTGCCCAATGACCAGTTGGGCAAGAAATACAATTAATTATTAATTGGGAATTGGCAAACTTTAAGTTTCAAGTTATCAAGAACTAGTACTGCATTTTGGGGAAAAGATTCTGTTAACCAAATACTTCAACCATTGTTGATGAATAAGACTGAAAGCATCCTTAAATTAGAAAGATGGAAGTACTGTCAGAGATTTTTATTACCCTGTTCTTCATTCGTTTCACCAGGTTTATTTTTATTTCAAGTTCGTGGTAAGACCTGGAGTTCAGGAACCTTCAAGAAGAAATTGGTTTCCTGTACCAGAGTACCAGTAATATATTATCGTTGGTGCGAATCAATCTTGCATCCAAATAGGGAACTGATTGATTGTCATCTTCTTTTTCGATGGCGAACTGGATGTAGGGATCATAACTGTTAAAAACTTCAACAATATCATCCACCCTTTCATAAGGAAGTCAAACGATGTCCTCCGAATATTTTGCCAATTGCGAATAACAATAGTAAAAATGACAACACTGTTCTGTCCAACCAGACTCCCATGAGCTCTTCAACTAATGAGAATGACAGCACTACAGTGGTTGCTCCTATTTCCAGAGTTAATTATGATATCTTGCCATACATCAAAGAACTAACACCAACATTCATCAGGCTGTATATTTCCTTTAAATGTCGTTTTGCTTGTAAATCAGGTGCTCACAGTCAACAGTTTGTTGCCCAAAATGACGGATAAGGTTCAGGTGCTTTGATTCAACCAACACTGTCTATCACATTAATTGCAACAACTGTAATTTAGTTTATATAGACCAAACATCGAGATCACTGAGAGGCAGGATAACTGCACACAAAAGTGACGCCAGATTGCATCCAGAGAGATGTGCTTTGGAATCACATATTAACGACCACAGGTCACTCTATTGAATTATGGCAATATTGAGGTTCTTGATAAAGAAAAAAGACTCTCAAAGCATTTATTTTTATAAATGACCCACATTTTCATGGCAGATCATTGCATGAATAAAAAGGCTGATGTTAAGCAGCTTAGTGTCATTTATTCCTACCTGTTGAATTGAAAAAGTTAAAACGGCTACATATCCTAATCGATCTAACGTCGTCCCAAAATTAAAATACATTCCAATCCTGTTAATTGAAACTTTTCACTCACAATCTTTAATATAAATTCATATAACCCATCTTCTCAAGTGTGTATCACTATCTTACATTCGTACACTCATATGAACTACACACTTTTCCAGAACAAATTTAATTCAGCATTTTGGTAAATAGGATGAGGTTTACCGAGCGTCCCTCGTATACTTCATACCCAAATTGGACAAGGATGTTTACAGTTCCACATTCCGTCGCGTCAATCACATGTCATCTGTCGACGCATTATCTTTCCGCTCCGTCCACCTTCTCCACGTGTTGCGGAAGTAGGCGGTTTGAAACTGCATTTCTATTGTGTCCCCAAAATTTCTTCTTGTTAATTAATTTTTAATATGTTCGGGTGTATTGATATTTTTAACACATAACGATGGTATCTGTCGTTATCAATAAGCCCAATGTTTCCGTCCGATTGGTTTTATATTTGTAAGTGCTCTCATCTCCACGTTCGTTTTGAAACACCATTTGGCTGCAACCTCAACGACGAGTAAGTTGTTTGACAATTTAAGTCGTTCCTGTATTGGTTGCTACCATCATAATTGTGTTTTCAGATCCTGATGAAGGCTCCATAGAGAATCGCCGAAAGCTTGATATTATCGTCAAGAGTTAACTAAAGGCCTAAAAGTTTGCCAATTTCCCAACTAAAAATTAATTGTATTTTTTGCCCAACTGGTCGTTGGCAATGGCAAGTTTGAAGTTGAGTCATTAATTTTCAGATAATGATTGTAGAAGGAAGATAAACCAGAATATGTGTATAAAAATAAAAAAAAAAATAAAAAATTTTTTACCTTGTTTTATAAAGTATCCTCCCGACAAGTATTTCAGTGCGAACCTGTATTTGATCGTGAGGTCCCCTGTGAGGTCTTAAGTCACCTGATTCACGAGCCCGTTGTACTACATTAACAAAGGCACGAGGGGTTGGTTGCACTCGATTGGGAAACCGATCCGCATAAACATGTGCCATTTTTTATTTCGTTTGAGCCACGCAACAGACACTATTCATACGCTAACCGACAGACACTGACTGTATGTATAACTGAACTGAATAAAATACTTAATTGCAAAAACATCGTTCCAAATTCTTTCGCTTTTTTCTTTCCGATGCGATGAACCGGTAAGGCGGATTATATCCGTAGTTGCCAAACACGAGTACATAATATTATTATTGAGACAGGGCGGTACTCAAACTTCCAAAGGGCTATAACTTTGTTACTTTAATTTTACCAGAAAAATGGTAAAGGAAAAAAACATTTCTTTTGATCAGATCTACTCACTGTTAAAATAAATGACTCAACTTCGAAGTCACCCTGTATATAGTCATATATCTATATTCGTATATATTGTAAGAAACGACAAATTTTAGCGAGCTGCTGCCGGTTACGAAGGGGTACTGCTGTGTGGTTAGTGCTCCGATAGCTGAGGGAGCGACGATCGGCCGCCGAGCCTGGCAGAGCGAGCTGTAACGTCGAGCAGTGCACATCGTGCTCGGATAACCTGCCGCTCCGAAATTAAGTTAAATCGTTGTGCTATTATTATTGTTGTTAATACAAGTTGATTGGTGGAAAATTAGTGTTTGACTATCCGTGTTTCTAACATCAGAAGCGAGATTGTGCCTAGACGACCACAGTGGATTGTGATTTGTTTTGAAAACATTGACGTTTTCTTTGTCTTGTGAGAACAAAGGATAACGGTACATCGTTGTGATTGCTGCCTCGTAGTTTAAAAAAAAGACTGTGCTGCGTTGTGTGTTTGGATCAAGTCTTGGTGTTCCTGATAAGAAAACTCAATTTAACGATAGCTTCAACAGACGAAGACCCCACCCAGTCGCTGGTAGTAGAATTGGTAGAAGCCTTGCAGTCCCAAAGGTTGGCAGAACAGGTAGATTTCCCCTATTTTAGACCCGAAATAAACGAATCCAGTAAATGGGTAAGTCAAATTGAAGTCATCAAGCATGAAGTTGGGTGGTCTGACGTTCCAACTCTGATAAGGATTGGCCGATTTTTATTGAGTGTCTCGATTATGATGCTTTGGTGGGACGTAATATTTTTGAAGATGAAAGTCTCGCCACCATAACAGATCATCAAGGATTACGCGTTGTGTGACGTCAGCTGCCTGGCATAAATCGCGTTTCAGAAGATTTTGGTGCTTTAGTCACAGAAGTTGGAGTACCTGAACAACATCGCGTAGGTCTTGAAGTTATACTGCAAGATTTTAGTGGCATGATTACAACAGGCAATAAAGTTGGTGCAGTGAATAATGTCAGCCTGAAAATTCGACAATGAAAAGGATGCTCTTCGTCAGTCGTTTAGGCCTACTGCGCATATTCCATGATGAGCAGTGCCACGTGGGACCCGAAAAGACATACGAGACTATCGCTCAACAATTTTGGTTTCCGAGGATGAGAAACTTCATCAAATGCTACGTCAAGCACTGTGTAATTTGTGCAGTAAAAAAGACAAGAACAGGTCCTCTACAGGGGTTCATACGACCAGCGGACATACCGAAGGAGCCATTTCATACGTTGCACATGGACTGTTTGGGTCCTTTACCAGCTTCAACTGATGGCTATAAGCACGTTTTGGTAGTGGTGGATGCTTTTACCAAGTACTGCATTTTGACGTATATGAAGTCTGTGACAACTGCAGAGGCGCGTGAAAAGCTGCAGAATGTTCTAGCGCTGTTTGGAACTCCCAAACGAATAATAATGGACGCTGCCACGTCATTTAAGAACACCACGTTTCCAAAGTACCTGGATCGATGGGGCATCGAATACCATTTTGTAACTCCAGATGTGCATAGGGGAAATGGGCAGGTAGAACGCTATATGCGAACCATTAGAAATCTTATGAGAGTTGAAACCCAAATAAGGACAGAATGGACGAACGGACTATGGAAGATCCAACGTGTTCTCAATTCGACTATGCAAAGATCAATAAATGCAACTCCTTTGCAGCTGCTTTTGGGTATTCGAAGCTCGACTCCGATGATACAAGCTGTGTTGAAGGATGAGTCTAAGGATCTAACTCCTTTGCGCAACCGAGATTTGGATGGACAGCGATTAGCGAAAAGGCTATTCGTTGCACAAAATTACGACACTGTGAACAAAAAAAGAAGGGACAAAGTTCAATTTTCAGTCGGCGATCATGTACTGATGCACCGAGACTCTCAGATGCACATAAGCAAGAGCGACTATGAGTTTCTTGGTCCTTATGAAGTGGTTAAATGCTTGGAAAATGGACGTCATGATATTGAGCAGGTTGGAACAACCGTAATAACAAAGGCAGCTAAGGAACAGCTAAGATCATGGCCTGTACAGTGGTCCGCCAATGTTGATATGAGAGATATACTTGAGTTTTTGGAGGCTGACGAATAACCACATCAGTAAATTTCTGGTTCCATTCTGCGATGTGCTGTATTGCTTAATGTTGGTCTCTGTCTCGTTAGTAGTAGAGCCAGCTGAAGGCTGCGGTCTTCAGGGATGTTGTAACATGGTCTCTGTCTCGTCAGCAGCAGAGCCAGTTGAAGGCTGAGGTCTTCAGGGATACTGTTATTTTGGTCTCTGTCTCGTCAGCAGCAGAGCCAGCTGAAGGCTGAGGTCTTCAGGGATACTGTTATTTTGGCATCTGTCTCGTCAGCGGCAGAGCCAGCTGAAGGCTGAGGTCTTCAGGGATACTGTTATTTTGGTCTCTGTCTCGTCAGTAGCAGAGCCAGCTGAAGGCTGAGGTCTTCAGGGATATTGTAAGATTGGTCTCTGTCTTGTTAGTAGTAGAGCTACTAGTACTGAAGTTTTAGAGTAGTTATTTTAATGAGACGGTCGTCGCCGTCACTGTTAAAGGTTTATTTAATTGAATTTACGTGCAATTCTGTAATCGAAATATGAATTTTGGTCTTAGTATATTTGTGAGATAATAATTGTGGCAAGTGCATATGCTTTTGATTCACAGATTCAGCCTGTGGTGTAGAGGGCGTCGAGAACGTCGCAGCCATCAGGAAGGCCGCGTAAGAAACGACAAATTTTGGCGAGCCCCTGCCGGTCACGAAGGGGTACTGCTGTGTGGTTACTGCTCCGTTAGCTGAGGGAGCGACGATCGGCCGCCGACCCTGGCAGAGCGAGCTGTAACGTCGAGCAGTGCACATCGTGCTCGGATAATCTGCCGCTCCGAAATTACGTTGAATCGTTGTGCTATTATTATTGTTGTTAATACAAGTTGATTGGTGGAAAATTAGTGTTTGACTATCCGTGTTTCTAACAATATATACTACTAACTCTGGACGAATTGAAGGGCGAAATTCGCGAGGAAGTCGCCCAAGTTGAGAGAGCGATGTTGGAGAGAGTCTACGCGAACTTCCAAGAACGCCTCCAGCACTGCATCAACGGTTTCGGCCTCCACATGCCTGATGTGATTTTCCACACTTGACTGTCTCAAATGCTATTTCCTTGTGAACCTGATTCCATCAATAAATTTGTTTGAGAAGAAATAGCAACTATTGTGCAAAATTATTTTAAATTAACTTACAGTAGTATGTGAGATTGTTGCTAAATGTTATTAACGTTTAAGTTGAGGGAAACACCCAGTAACCTGGTGAAAGCTGGAAGCTCAACATTTTTAGACATTTGTACGTGCTCTAACTTTTCGCAGCTTAGCAAAACCTTCTGTCACCCGTCAAATGTTTCATCCTACTTATGATGGTGTGCCACACCATTTTGTGCAGCATCAGGAGGTTCACGATGTAATTTTAACTTTCATTATTTTAATCTGTTTTAATTTGTTCCTGACATACAGCTGTGTGTATTTTATGTTAATTTTGACGAATGTACCAGGTATCCAGCTTTCACCAGGTTACTGGGTGTTTCCCTCAACTTAAACATTAATTACATTTAGCAACAATCTCACATACTACTGTAACTTGATTTAAAATCATTTTGCACAATAGTTGCTAGTTATTCTCAATGCTATTGCAGCTCCTGATGAAGATGACAAAGTCCATTGAAAGCTAGAGACTGAGCTTGAATTTTGCCGAAGTCCCCAACAAAAGGCAGAAGCTTTATTTTTCACCTACATATATATATACAGGGTGACTTCGAAGTTGAGTCATTTATTTTAACAGTGAGTAGATCTGATCAAAAGAAATGTTTTTTCCTTTAACATTTTTCTGGTAAAATTAATTAACAAAGTTATAGCCCTTTAGAAGTTTGAGTACCGCCCTGTCTCAATAATAATATTATGTGCTCGTGTTTGGCAACAACGGATATAATCTCTGTTCATCGCATCGGAAACAAAAAAGCGAAAGAATTTTGAAACGTTTATCACGATGTCAGACAATGTTTCAGTCGGTAACGCGTGAGTGAATAGTGGTGTTTGTTGCGTGGCTAAAACGAAATAAAAATGGCACATTTTACGAAATGCTGAACTTGTGGACATGATTCTTATTAATCGAGTGCAACCAACCCCTCGTGCCTTTGTTAATGTAGTACAAAGGCTCGTGAATCAGGTGACTAGAAGACCTCACAGGGGAGGGCATGCCGTGCTCCAAGACTGCACGAACAAAGACAGGTCCGCACTGAAATACTTGTCGGGAGGATACTTTATTAAACAAGGTAACATTTTTTTTTATTTTTTTTTTTATTTTTACACACATATTTTGGTTTATCTTCCTTCTACAATCATTATCTGTAAATTAATGACTCAACTTCAAAGTCACTCTGTGTATATATATATATATATATATCCTTGAATTTCTTTGGGTAGAAGGCAAAGTATTACAAAAATAATTCCGTCCTAATCGAACCTCATCAGTCCAGTTTTTTATTCGTCGACTATGTTCCCTTGACTGTTGTTTAAAGACAATTTCAGCAACAATATCGCCGACTTAGTAAGTAACTATTTTTCCTCCTAATTGTTACTTGTTGCTATTCTCAATAATTGTTTCCAACCCCAGACAACGAAGATATAGATCTTTGACAGCCTGAGTTTAAGTTATAAGAGTGTACTTTTGCAATACTTTGCCTTCTACACAAAGAAACTCAAGGTTATTTTCTCCTAACAGTTAAGGAAATTAAATAATATATATATATGACTTGTAATTCGACAGTGTACAGTGAGTACAATTATTTCTTATCTCTCATTTTTTAAAACCAGAAAATTTGCATATGTAATTTACCGAATGGGTAAGAAAAAGTGGATGCGCAACTAATTTCTAGCTTTGAATCTCAAGTAAGTGTATTTAAGGTAAGAAACCAATGGGATTATCATCAACACATATTATTAGCAAACAAATCCACACTATGCACCTATGCATTGCCGTTACCTCCAGTAATGCCATCTCTGAAGCAGTTTTCACATCACATCAGCGCCAATCAATGATAACTGAAGCCTCATGACGTTTAGGCAACACGTACAATTAAAAAATTAGTTCACAACATGTCCATCAGCTAGTGCTAAGTTAACATCTTGTAGAAAAACTCACATAATGTTACAAAAAATCGATATAATGACACTTTCCAAGATACGTCATACCTGTGAAGACCAGCAGACCGCAAAGGGTGAATCTTCTTTTATCAAGTAGAACAACAAAGTATTCGAAGTACCGTACACCTTGTGCATTGTCTATCAATTCGCCGTTGTTATAATTAATAAATTTCCTTAGACTAACCGGCACAGCAGTTCATATCGGCACTTAGGTGAAACATTAATGCTACATTTACAGGGATCGCTTTTACAAGTAATAAATAAATAAGTATGTCGTTATACCACCACGATATCAGTGATATTAGTGACATTAAATGCGTGCGCTTAGATCTGTTGTATAGATTAGAAAGAGCGATGATAAATTGCTTTCATAATAACACACACTCATGCACAAGTAAGTACCATATTACATGTATTCGTATATTATATAGGTATATTAGGAATAAACAAAATGTTTACGAAGGTTCGAAATCGGATACTTCCAATACATCTACCTCATCTATGTTAAACCAAGACAAACATGCGATTGTCAGATCATTTTGCGTCTATTAATCAGTGGAAGCAGCGTTCGAAAATGTGGGATCATAAAACTATTGTGGCCAACAATTCAGTAGTCAGAGTTGCAATTTATCAAAGTTTAGTGTCTTCTTCGATAAGTGTGTCCAAGATATCAACAATTTGAAAATAAAACTCTATAGTATGCTAGATCAAATTGGTTTGTTTGAAAGTGTCTATCCAAATATGTAATTTAAATCACACCTTTCCATTTGAAAAACGGATGTTTAAGTCACTACGTAGTTATGACTCACCTTGTAGAGATGAAAATATTTTCCAAATAAGAAGCATACCGGTGGCTGCAATCCTTGGAATCAACTTTATCAGATAGCATGCATGATAACTGAGTTCTCGACCGAGCCCACCCTAAAAACCACCGTGTAGGTTCTTGGATTTGATATTGTGAGGTTCTAACTATTGCATGCTTTGTCGAGCCATACTCATTTGTCTGAACCATTGTGGAAATAATTCATTCATGACTATTAGATTATACAGGGTATCTGCGAAAGGTTGGGAAATCTCGAAACTGGAGGTACTACAGACCAAGATATGTGAATTCACCCAAACATACCTCATTCCAAAAGTAGATAGTTTGCGAGATACAGGGTGTCAAAGTTACAATTTTATTTTCTATTTCTCCTTATTGCTTTAGAAGTATTTCAGATTTTGGCATAAAACTCGGTATAGGCAGGTTTTCTAGTATGAGAAACAAGAATCCGTTATCTTTTATGGCCAAACTACTAGAGGGCGTCACTGGCAGCACTATTTCGGTAAATAACTTATAATTTTTTTTGTGCTACCCTGTATATAACAACTGACCAAAAAATCTTATTTTCTGGTGTTTCCACAACAAAAAATTTTTACTTGTTAGAAGTTTCTAAAGCTAATAGTTTTCGAGGTATTTGTTTTTAAAAGTTCGAATGCATTGATTGTACCATGATGATAAAACATTTTTATAACATAATAAAGTTGCTTTGGATAATATCTGAGTAACGTTGCTATGGTTTCTACTGTTTGTCATAGTATTGCTTCAAACTTCATGAATAATTTTAAGGTGATAATAAGTTGTTAAACATCATGGAGTATACGTTTGATGAATATTCTGATATGCATTTAATGTACGGATTGGCAAGATGCAATGCTTTAAAAACAAATATCTCGAAAGCTATTAGCACTTCTAACAAGTAAACCTTTCCTATTGTGGAAATACGAGGAAATAAGATTTTTTGGTAGTTGTTGTATACAGGGTAGCACAAAGCAGTTATGATAAGTTATTTACCGAAATAGTGCTGTAAGTGGCGCCCTCTAGAAGTTCGGCCAGAAAAAATAACGGATTCTTGTTTCTCATACTAGAAAACCTGTCTATACCGAGTTTTATGCCAAAATCTGAAATACTACTCAAGCAATAAGGAAAAATAGACATTAAAATTGTAACTTTGACAACCCTGTATCTCGCAAACTATCTACTTTTGGACTTATTTATGTTTGGGTCAAATCACATATTCTGGTCCGTAGTATCTCCAGTTTCGAGATTTACTAACCTTCCGCGAAAACCCTGTATATGAGTAGATAAGTACCTCTACTAAAGGTACCTCCTCTTCTAGCATCGCAGGAGAGGTTGAAGTTTGAAACCCAAAGCAGCTTTAAGGGGGGTACACTTATATGGACTGAAATACGCGCAGCTCATGTGCTCATGGTGACTGATTAATTGACCCAATTAATCTTCCCATCACCCACCTCTCCATTCTATGTTCCTTATTCCAATACAAAACAAACCTGATATACGCGGTTCTATAAATATAGTGTGCTGAAAAATGGAGACACTTAACCGAATAATAAATGAGAACTTTTGGCAAGGAATTTATTTATTCTGTCCTGACGCCACGGTCTGAGCTAAAGCCATAAAAACTTACTTAACGATATCCTTTTGTGACCTAGGGAAAGAATATACAAGAAAACGCACTAAGATAATCAATCACTGAGGTTTCCTGTTCTTTTTTCCTCGACACGGTGCGTGGAATTTTGTTGATCATGTTCTGGATGACATTATGTAAACGAACCTAATATGATGTGAAACCAGGAGAGATATTTGTTTGTTTTGCCACACGTTTATTACCTTTTACTTATTACGTATTTGTGTCTGATTTATAGGTTAACA